AAGCCCGCAAAAAAAAAAAAAAAAAAAAAAAAAATCCTTTTTAAAAAAAAAAAAAAAAAAAAAAAAACCTGTTCCTTTTTTTTTTTTTTTTTTTTTTTTTTTTTTGAGACAGGTTCTCACTACAGTTCAGACTGGCCTTGAATTCAATATGTAGTTCAGGCTGGCCTCAAACTGTCAGCAATCCTCCTGCCTCAGCCTCCCAAGTGCTGGGACTACAGGTGTGTGTTACCACACCCAGCTAATAAATAATTTTAAAAATTAAAAAGTTTCAGAAAATAGTTCAGGCTTTAGAAAATAGTTCAGCTGTACCTGTACATCTAAATGTTAAAAGCAATATGTGTAGACATACCTGCTTCTCCTGAAACTGAGTCTGCTTCACTACTCCATTAGCAACAAGAGGTCCAGGAGACTTAGAAAAATTCAAATCTTTCTGATTAGACAGGATGTCAAACAGTATTAAAGAACCTAAGAAAAAGAAATATTTCACTTGTTAACATATTCACTAGGTGCTTTTACAACACAAAGTTGATTTTTTTTTTTTTAAAGCTCCTAAGTAGAAATCATAACAAAAATTAGATGTGGCCTGGCATGGTAATCCCAGCACTCTGGGAGCCTAAGACAAGAGGACTGAAAGCTCAAGCACAGCCTGAGCAACTTAGTACCTTAGCAAGACCCTGACTCTGCCTCAAAACCAAAAATTAAAAAAAGGGCTGGGGATGTAGCTCAGTACAAAGGACCTGAGCCCTATCCCTAGTACTATCAGGAAAGAAAAAAAAGTTAAGATCTGATAATCAATAATCTTGTTTATAAAGAAGCAAAACAAAATATATGGCATTTCCGTGTAATGCTAGATGTGAAGGGCAAAGGCAGAATCTAAACTCAAAGCAACCATTTCTGCCCTTTACAAAACTTGACATATATAGCTCTAAATTATGTACTAACAGGATTGCCTAAATTAAAAGCACTGATAACAAAGATTTCTTTCAAACGTGCTAAGTGTGGTGGTGCACACTTCCCAGCACTCTGGAGCCTGAGGCAAGAGGATCGCAGTGAGCTCACTGGGAAACACAGGCACCACAAGGCCAGCCTAGACTACACAGTGAGACCTTGTTTCAACAACAACAAAAAAGACTCCAAAGAAAAGTAAAAGTAAAAATAAAAAAATAAAACCAGATGTGCATATTTGATAGTCTTACCTAAACTATGACCAGCAACAGAGACCTTTCCCTTGAAATTCGGGTTCCGACTCAAAAACAGTGCATGCAGACGGTTTATCTCTAGCCCGACTTTCTCCACTATTGTCTGACAGTAGGTGGGGCTGTTATAAAATAAAATATCTAGCAAAGTTTCATTGGTAAAGTGGCGAAACCGACCAATACTCGGCAAAGTGATTTTCTTAATATTCCTGTTCAAAAGGAAAGAAAAAAAACTTAAGTATCTACCTTTATGAATGTATGAAGTTTTATTTCTGCAAAGGTATAAATAATGCACAGATTTAAGTGTGTATATATGTTAATTAGCTGATCAACACACAAATAACACAGATTGTTATTCTGTAGGCAAAGCTATTATAAAAGTTATTTCTACCTATAACTACATGATGAATTCTAGGATTCTCTAAAGAGTTATTATATAAAAACATATCATAGGCAATATTTTAATTTCATTTTTAGGGGGCCTGCCGGTTACCTCAGTCATTTAAGCACTTGCTCATGTAAACAGTCAGCAAAGGATACCAAGGTTCGATCCCCAGCTCCACCTGCCTTACCAGACCTGTCCTTATGGCAGCCTGAGCCAGCCAAAAAAAAAAAAAAAAAAATCCTTCTCAACATTAGGGCCGGCCAAATATCTCAGCAGATTAAAGCACCTGCAAGCAGGCGCAAGGGCCAGGGGTTCAATCCCCAGCCTGCCGTGCCCGCCCCACCCCTGGGGCATGCTGAGACAGCAACTGAGACTGGGTGTGGCAGCGTGTGCCTGTAACCCCAGCTCTTGGGAGGCTGAAAACAAGCCAATCACTACAAGTCCAATCCAGTAGTGAGACCCTGAACACCCTATAGACCCTTCCCTAAAATGCAAAAATAAATAAATTCATTTTTAAATGAAGAGAAAAGGTTACTCTTCCACTTTTCTTCCAACAAAATGGAAATCTGGATACCTTACAAAAAAGGATAGAAGAAACTGTAACAGAGTAAGAAAGAAATTACATCAAATAAAAGCTTTTCCTGATTTGATAATGATCAAAATGATTTTAGTTCATGAATATCCACCACAAAGGAAAACAGCCTCACAATGAGGCCTAACATAAACAGGATTAGTTTATTAAACTGTGCATCTAAAACCTAAGAGTGTTCACTACAATCCACACATATTACTAGCTTGTGTGCCTGCAAGAATATCGCCCGTGCCGCAGTTCTCAAATGGGTGTTTCTAAAATTGAGGGAGGCCTCTTATTTCTCAGCGCCTGGGGAACACTACCACCACATGGTGGGACTTAGACTAAGGCCACCAAATGACCTGCAATGTAATAGTTCTGTGCAATAAAAACCTGTGCCGTCGAGTGTCCAGTTAAACCCAGTAAAAAATCAGTGTTTCTCAACCAGAGTGACTTTAATCTCCAAGGAACGTTTGGCAATTTCTGGAAACATTTTTGATTGTCAATGGCGAGACATGAATATGTTGCTGTTATCTAGCCAGCACACTGCGAAGCATTCTAAAATATACACAACAGCGCTCTAGTACAACTGTGGGGCAAAGGGTATGTAAGAGATTGGAGTAGTATCTAAAGCCAGCTTAGTAGTAAGGCTGCAGCCCCACGGTAGACTTGGGCTTGGCATTCCACAAGAGTGCAATCTCCAGCACCAAAATTAACTAATAAAGCCAGCTAAAATTTCTTATATTCTTTTATCATTTACAGGGGGCTTGCTGCTTAGCTCAGTTGTTTAAGCACCTGCATGGGCAAACCCAGTCAGGCTTGTGGGACTGCAGTTCGATCCCCAGCTCCACATGCCACCCCACACCTGCCCTTAAGGCAGCCTAAGCCCGCAAAAAAAAAAAAAAAAAAAAAAAAAAATCCTTTATCTATTTAAAATAAGAATAAATACAAACAGAAAAGCAGCATGTAAAAGTTATAACTCACATTTAATCATACACTAGGCCAACTATGTAACTTCTCAGAAAATATTTGAAATAATAATAAATTATATTATAGTTCAAATTTTGAATTTAAATTTGACTGAACTGAAAAATAAATTATCAAAATGTACAAACCTGTCAACATCAGTGGCATCTCCACCCAAGGCACTATGCCAGTGAACAGGAAGGAACTCCACTCTACTTATCTTCCCTTCATCTAATGATTTCTTGAAATGTGTTTGCAGCAATTTGAGAGAAACCACCCTAAAATCATCCACTTAAAAACAAAAATCAAGGAAGATGCATGAAATTCGTTAAATTGTCCCAATTTGACAGCTAGTTAGCAATTACCTTCAATATGCTAGTTCTTTTTATGACATATAATTTCTAAAGATGATGAAAAATCAGTAAAAATAAATCATAAACCATTAAGAAGCTCTTTCTAGCTTTTCATTATTTTAGAATAATGTATAAATACCTGGAAAAACGAGTTCAACTACCATCACTGAAAGAGACTTAGCACTGACTGGTAAGATCAGAAAATCAGACTCAAACTATCTGCTGCAATATTACAACTTCACCTCCAAAGACATATTTATGAAGGCTAAATATACAGGAAGTGCAAGGTCCTTGACACACACCAAATATTTTGTAAACACAAACTACTACTATACAGATATTTTAAAAAAACCTTCAAAAACATAAGTCAACCAGGCAGATTGATCTCGATATGAATCAATTCACTGTACTGTTGCTCCAGGTTCCTGGAAGCAGAGGCTATCTATAAGAAAGGCTAAATTATTTTCAGGAGTACTTCTAATTCTTCAGAGTCTAGGACTTTATATGAGTTATTAATGTCATAACAGTGAAGCACATACAAATTTGATTTCCAGTTGAGCATATAAATCTCCACTTACAGCCCCACAACAACTTGTACACAGCTGGGAACTGTCCTAAAAATACTTAAGAGCTATTCTCAGTTCACTCAGTGAAGTAAAATATGACTAATAGACCAAATGCACTGGTACACACCAGTAATCCTAGCACTTCTGAACGCTGAGGTAGGAACATCAAAAGCTTGAGTCTCATCTGGGCAACTTAAAGTGTTTGGCAAGACCTTGTCTCTAAATAAAAAATAAAAGTACTGTGCTATACCTGGGGGTAGCTCTGTATAAAGGTGCTGGGTTCAATCCCCAGTACTGAAGAAAAAAAAAAAGACCAACACTTACCACATTCAATAATGCTTCTAAACCGCAAGTCACACACAGGCCCAATGCCATGTACCATGAACACCAGATGGTCAGCCTGAGGCATTTCCCCTATTAAAAAAATAGACACGTATGTATGCAAACAACATAGTAACTTATTTCAATTTTTCTTGGGAGAGGAGTGCAGAAGTAGAAATTGAACCCAGGGACACGCACTCTACCATTAACCTATATTCCCCAGTCATTTTTAAAAAAAATTTTTTGAGACAAGCTCTTGCTAAACTGGCCAGAAGGGACTCCAACTTGTGACCTTCCTGCCCTAGCCACCCGCAACCCCGAGATTACAGAAGTATACCACCACACCCAGGTTAATTTATTTTCTTAAAAAGAAAAATTCTTAACATTTCTTTCCTCACAAAAATAACCAAAGAGGGCTGGAGAGATGGCTCAGTGGTCTAAAGCACCAACTTGGAACAAGCTTGGCAAAGCACAGGGACCGCGGTTCGATCCCCCAGCACCACATGCCAGCCAGCCCCGCCCCCTGGTGGGCTGAGCTGGCCACACCACACACACACCACTCTCTCTCTCTCTCTCTCTCAAATAAATAAAACAATTAAAAAAATTTAAAAAAATAAAAATAAAAAAATAACCAAAGAAATTCATGACCCTCCCAAGCAAGTAAGTTTCACCGTCCTCTACCAAATTAGAACAATTTGTTCAATTGTTCCTCTAGGCCAATAACAATGAACTAGACTAAAATGTGGAAGTCTGTTGCCAAAGGCTGCCATCATATGATAATCAGCAGTTCTGAGCCTATGGAGGCTCCATCATATTGTGATCTTCTCAGAACTCCCCAGGGGAGGGTGCTCAGTGGTAGAGGATGTGCTCCTCCGGGCATCTCACATGCTTTCAACCCCTGGCTCCAAGAAGTTAATCACATAAGTAAAATCTCCCCATAGCACTACACAGTGTGAGCAGGGAAGCCTGAACATATACCACTAGAGCAGGGGCTGCTAGACTGTGGCACACTGCTACTTGTCTGTGTAAATACAGTTTTACTAAAGCACAGCTATACCCATTTGTCTACACAGTCTACAGCTGTGTTCATATTACAACAGCAAAGCTCAGGAACTGCAGTACAGTACTTTGCCCACAAAGCCTAAAATCCTTGGAGTCAAGCTCTTTATAGAAAAAGTTTACCAACTCCTATATTAGAATAATACGAAGTAGTGAGGCATGAAAATACACCCCCAAAAGCTTAGTTCCAAACAGCAAAGTTTTGCTGCACAATACGTTTTAGAATCTATATTGTGTAGTTTGTAGATCAAAAGAATTGCAAATTAAAAAACAAAGATACAAAGTAATAGAATCAAATAGAAGAAAAAAAAATCAAATAGTAAGATAAAGGTTTAAAGATATAGTTCAACAAGAGAGCACTTGCCTAGCATGTATGAGGACATGGCTTTGATCCCTAGCATCACCAATAATCGTTAAAAAAGGTCTAACAATAGCAAACAGGCCAGGGATGGGAGGGGAACAGGCAGGCAGAAGGAAGCCAAATTGGCAGATTTCTGCAATCCTATTAACTATGTTAGTAGTATTCTAAAGAACAATGCTAAAATACTGAAGCATACTTCACTCTTAAACTGTACACACCGTCGGGAATTTCATCAAGGCTGTCATCAACCCCACGCTTTACAACCCTGGGCCTTGTCTGTCCATCTTGTGTGGTCCCCCACTCATCGGGCACTGAGGAAGGCTGGAACTGAACAATGACCTTCAAGATACAACAGAGTTCATTAGCAAATTCTTTTCCACAATGGCTAAGTACTGTATTTTAATACATAATAAACTGTTCATTAGTTTATAGATAGCTCACAGATAGTTTATAAATCAAGTAACAGTACTGTTCCTTCAAACCAATTTTGTAAGAGAACTAGTATTAACCCTCAAAATTAAACAAATCAGTATCACTATTTCCAACACTTAAGGTAGAAAATCATTCAAATAAAACACCATCAGTTTTTAAAAACTAACATAAAACTCCAGGTTCATACACTAGAAATCAAGGATTATCCAGGTGCAGTGGCACATGTCTATAATCCCAGCTACTCAGAAGGTTGAGGCAAAAGGGCAAAAGTCAGCTACACAACTTAGCCTGAACTTATTTCAAAATAATTTAATTATCTAATTTAATTCTTCAAAGAGCTGGAAAAGTAGCTCAGTGGTACAGCACTTCCTTAGCATGCTTGAGGCCCTGAGTTCAATTCCCTGTACCACCAAAAGAAAACAGAAATCAAGAACAAGTTGTTTATAATTGAGGAATCTTTTGTCTTATACTCACAAGACAAAATCCTTTAAAGGGCAAGATTTCTAATTATAAATGTAATATTTATTTTTTTCTTTTTTCTCCAGTATTCAAGGAACACTACTTACATCTGACCCATCCATCCTTTATATAGGACCTCACCGTAGCCCAGTCTGGCCTTGAACTCACAGCACTCCTGCAGCCTCAGCCTCCCAAGTGCCAGGATTAGCGCTGGAATCAGTGTCTACCACCACGCTTGGCTTGTATTTAACTCTTAAGACAGCATCTCAGTAAGCTACTCAGGCTGCCCTCAAAATCTAGATTCTCCTGCCCCAACTTTCAAACACCCAAGATTACAGATGTGCACCATCATACACAACTACATATTCAGTTTCAATGACAAAAACTGAATGCCAAGAACTGCTACTTGCTTTTTAGGGAGGTATCTATTCAGTTAAATCAACTGATTACATGTATCCCTATGTCAAAGAAAGATGTTTCTTTAAAAAGAAATGAATATAAATGATGATATGATTGTGTTTATATTGTAAAAAAATGAAGGGTATGTCCAGCAAAGGAGAGGACAGAGTAGAAAGCTTTTATTTTTTCATTTCATATCTTTTTATATTAAGTTTATATTGCTTAAATGGTATATTGTTTAAATTTTATATGAACATTTTTATTTTTATATATTTCCCTATCTTTAAGGACAGAGAACTGTTAGACTGAGTTACTTTTGTATTCTTTTATATTTTTCTGTAAAAATGAAAAGTCTATGAGCTGGGTGTGCTGGCTCATGCCTGTAATCCCACCACTTGGGAGGCTGAGGCAGGAGGATCACCATGAGTTCAAGGCCAGGCTGGCCAACAAAAAAATATTCAAAGCCAGGCTGAACTGCATAGTGAAACCCTGTCTCAAGAATGAATAAATAGGGCTGGTGAGATGGCTCAGTGGTCTAAAGCACCTACTTAGAACAAGCTAAGCTAAGCAAAGCACATGGACCGCGGTTCAATCCCCCAGCACCACATGCCAGCCAGCCCCGCCCCCTGGTGGGCTGAGCTGGCCACACACACACACACACACAAATAAATAAATAAAATTAAAAAAAAAAAAGAATAAATAAATAAATGTCTATGTTCTGAAGAACTACTATATGCCAAACCCTACCTAGACTTTTGCATAAATTACTTCAACTAAAATATGACTCTGGGAGGTACACAGTACTACAGGTGAGAACCTAGAGCTAATAGAAATTTAGTAAATGAAAAAATTAAAATACTTCTAATAGGGCTGGTGAGATGGCTCAGTGGTCTAAAGCACCTACTTAGAACAAGCTTAGCAAAGCACAGGGACC